TTATTCAGAATTTAGCCCGAACTTGTTTTTTTTTTTTTGCCAAAATTGATCCATAAAAATCATAGGTTTCGGTTGAAGAAAAATCGTAAAGCAGTGGCTTTCTTTCACCCTTACTGCAATGCTGGTGGTGGTGGCGAGCGTGTCCTGTGGTGTGCTGTCAATGCCATGCAAAAAAAGTTAGTAGTCCTGGATTTCGATTGTTCACTTAACGATTAGTAATGGTAATGAAAATGATAATAGTGATAATAATAACAATAATATTAACAGTAATGACAGTAATAATAGCGACAATAATAGCAGCAATAATAATGATAATAGTAATAATAACAATAATAATAAAAGTAATAACAATAGCAGTAACGATAATAATAACAATAATAATAACAATAATGATAACAATAACAATAATAATAACAATAACAGGAATAATAATAACAAAAATAATGAAAATAATGGTAGCACAAACGTTATTGCCTATGGCCAGTTGAATTAATTCTTAAAAAAAACGACAGAATCCGGAAAGTTTTTGTTTTTTCCTTTTTTTTTGCAAGGCTTTTGTTTTTTTTTTTTTTTTTCTAAGTGAATGTACGAGATCTAAATATAGTGTACGATAGTGCACAAGAACGGTGTAGATGATTGATGAGGAAGTTGAAGCAAAGAAAAAAGTCGAAATGAAACATATTGAGAAGCTAGAAGTGCAAATTTGTCCACACATTTGTGATGTAAATATCTTACTTTTGACATATCTGCGAACATTTCTACTATTATTCGGTCTATTTTTCTAAAAAATTTGCAAAAGTGGGTTTTTTTTTTCATTAAATAGTTTTAAAATTCAATTATTTTAGATACGGTGAGAAATATCATTACGTGGTTTATACGGGAGATGTGGATGTGAGTCGTGAAGAGATCATTAGCAAGGCTAAAAGTTGCTTCAATATCGAAGTGGTCGATACAAACCTGCAATTCATTTACTTGCGGTATTTTTAGAAATAACTTCTGTAAAGTGCCAAAAATCGAAATTCCTTCCATATTTGGCTCCCAGTGAGAGGTAGATGCGCTTGGGAATTAGCTCCAGTGATAGCAAATGCCAATAGCAACCGTTCCCACTGGCAAAGCTGTTGATGGCTCCCTTTTCTGAGAGTTACTTACAAACAAGGTAGTAGTAGGTTTGTTTCCCCGGCTTGTGCCATTACCAGTTTATTATCGAAACAAGTTCCTTCGGTAATCCACTTGCTCCTTTTAAAATGACGGAATGAGGCACTGCACTGATGATTTGCACCCCATTCCGCACTGATTCTGCCGCATGTGTTTACAGCTCAGGGATGAAACACAGACAGGATACCAGCTCAAAGTAAATACAAGCTTGTTTATCTGGGAGATCTAAATGGCACTTCCAGTTTTTCCTTAATTGTCAAAATTTGATTGTGTTCCTTTCCACGGTGGGCCAAAAGCGCCGGAAAAACTGCGTATGTTAACACATAGAAGAATTCGGACCTCCGTCCTCTTACATTCCCCTAGCCAGAGATATTCACTGTTTGCATCTTTAAAATTCCTGAAACACTTATACAGGGATTGGTTTTCTCAGCGGCAGAATCGTATCTTCGACTTACTGCGCGACAGCAGTGCTACCCCACCGCCCTATGCCTGTAACAGATAGCATTGGTAGATCTAAACATCTGGGATTAAGGGTGATAGGAGTTAATTATCCTGGTTTGAGAAATACTTGGGCGCGAATTAAATGGAATTTTGATTAGACACATTGCTTGTTTAAAATGAATTTATGAACATTTTTCAAGAAGGCCTTATCCCTAAATTTTGGCTTAGCTGTCCATTCCATTGATTTTGGTTTCTTAGTTCAGTAAAAGGGAATTCTCTGATGTGTGAGTGTTATATGTGTTTTCCTCCACATTCTCGGTTGTTATCTTCTAAGAAAATCTGCACAGCTTCCGATTATTAGAAAATCGTAACAAGTTGCTCAGAACAGAAAAGCGTGGCACTGCTAGTCGTGGATGAATCTTGGAAAAAACAGAGCTTCCGCTCCCATAATAGGCGAATTTTCGGATGTTCAAGGTTGTGGCAAGTGATTTTTTGTTTTTTTAGCACTCGTCATTTGCTTGAACCGAGCAATTTTCCGTACTTCACGTTGCTGTTGCAAAGTCTGGCTGGCTTTTTGGTCGGTGCAGAAGCTTTGCTCCGTTACAATCCATACGTTTTCATCGATACCATGGGCTACCCGTTTGCTCTGCCGCTGTTCAGGTGTGCTACTTGCCTTTTTATTTCTTTTATCTTTGGTTTTCGATGGAGCAGCAGTACTTTAATAGTCTGTGATTGACAGTTAATCCTAAAACTATTGACTAAAAAAGTAAAAAAATACTATAAATAGCGGGGGCGGATTTTTCTTGCTGGATCTGAGTGTTCATTACACAGTATTGCAGGCTTTGGCAGTATCTACTTTTATTGATTTAGCATGTCATTTTAGGAAATTTTTAAAAAAATTAACCCATCCCCCCCACCCCCCTCCCCGCAAATTAAGCTGCACCGCCTTCATCGTATATTGGTTTCTTCTCATTGATTATAATAATGTTATGAACTCGTGCCTCCTGCACCCTCAAAGAGTTAAAAAATGAAGTTACTTGTTCTGATCTGTCGAATATTTCTGAGAAGTTTGAAGGTGGTATTTCTATTCTTAGGCGAAAATTGTCAGCGGATATAAAAACCATCTAAAAAAAATATGTGGCTGAAATTTTTGGGTTGTAATATCTTGGTTTTCTACTCATTTTTTAAGACTACAGCATTCCATAAATTAGACTGGACATGAAAAATTATTGTTGTCGATAAATCCTGTGATTTTTGGTGCTTCTATTTTAAGGAATTCTGTAATGTATAATTAAAATTATGCAAAATTTCACTGAGTTCTTGTTGTAGGTGGTTAGCTGGATGCACTGTTGCTTGCTATGTACACTATCCCGT